CTCAGGTCTTAGTTTCTAAACAACATTCTCCACTAAAAGGAATCAGGGCTCCCTCGAGAAATGGTTGATTCCAAGACTTAGTACAAGGTGAGCCTAGAACATTTTGTACCAGAAAATAAGGAAGCACGCAAAGGGGGGGTTGGGAGGGACAGCAAGCCCCAAGGACTCAGGCGCCAGGCTGAAGGGACTGCCACTGCACAAAGCTGGAGTTAGCAGAATATGGAAAGACAATGATAGTGATAAACTAGTGACACAATAAGAATCCATATTCTTATTGATGTAAGGTATCTCTTTTATCTTACACAAATAATATATATGCCTATGTCTGTTTCTGAATTTTCTATTCTGTTCCACTTGAATTTTTATGTGTTCATGTACCAGAACGACATTCTTTTAATATTAGAGGCTTTCTAGTGTATTTTAATGTCTCTTGGGTTAGTGGTCCCTCCATCTTTTGTTTCCTGGTTGTTGTTGCATGTTGGTTTTTCCACGTGAACTTGAATAATAATCTTGTAGCTAAGGCATTGGGAATTTTTCTGTAACAGGCCAGAAAGTGTGTAGTTTGGACTTGGGGACTTAGGGTCTCTTTTACATTTATTCACTTTGTGAAATAAGCAATACATTAAAGAACAGTGTGACCATTTTTCAGTAAGATTTCATAAAAATGCCCCCCCAAATCAGAATTGGCCTGGGGTTCAGTTTGCCAATCTTTGGCCTAGTTCCATGAAGAAGCTTGTTGTTATCTTTATTGAGATTGCAATAATTCATAAATCCAACATCTTCATGATAGTGAGTCAGTCCATCTAAAACAAAAGGTAGGCTTCCATTTGTTCCTTCTACTTTGGGGTCTTTTATTTACTTAGTTATTTGTTATGTGTTTGTTTATTTTCTTACATAATGGGTCACCTTATTATTGTTCCCCTTAGGTGTGGCCCTCCCACCAATAATCCACCCACACACCAACACCCAGCTTCCCCATGTTTCTCTCTCCTGCTCCAATCACTCTCCCTCCTCCCTTGCTGTAAGACGTGGATTGATGGTCAGCCCATGGGCCTTGTCTTTTTCCTGGAATCTTGTCCTTTTCCTGCTTGAGGACCTGGGCTCCTGGACGGAGGCAGACCATGCTGCTCAAATCCCCAGGAGCAACTGTGAGGCAGGTAGCAAGGTGGAGCAGTTCAGGAACCTGTTGTGTCAGGTATGTGGAGTGGGTCTCCGGACGCCTTGATTTTGGAGCTTCCTGTGGTATACATGACTGTCCTGTTTTGTCCAGATTAGTATGGCCTCTCCGTGCATCCTCATTCACACCGATTGGGCCATCCATTCCGGTGATGTCACGTGATGCTGCTGCTGAGTCTTATAATTCTGGCAATGGGAACCCTGCTCCCCCCCGCCACGTCAGTGGAGAAGTTCCCCAGTGGGGACAGACTTCGGTAGTTGGTTGGCCCAGCTCCTCTTGTCTGCTTTTGTGGTCTCCAGCTCTGCCCTGGGTCCCCAGTCACATCTCTGATGCTCTCTTTTCCCAGTGGGAGGAGAGGAAGCTTCTACTTTGGGGTCTTTTAGTACTTGAAACTTTTCTTCATCATCTTACATTATTACTGGTTGATTTATTTCTAAGTATTTTATATTTTTTTGGTGTTACTATGCAAGGGGTATTCTCTGTCATTATGTACTCTTTGTTATTTGTGAATAGAAAAGAGCTATTGATTTCTGTGTGTGAATTTTATATCCTACTACCTTACTGAATTCCTTTATTGTTTGAATCAAAACAAGTTATAGCATTGTCTGTCTGTAGGGTTTTCTAGTAATGCTGTCAGTATATCTTCAGAGGTAATTTTACTTTTTTCCCTATTATTATGCCTCTAATTGATGCCTCTTTTCTAATAACACTGGCTGATACTTCCAGGCTGGTATTTAATAGTAGGAGAGATGGTCATTCTTAATGTTCCTGATCTCAGTGGAAATGACTAGTTTTTCTTATGTACTTACTGTAGTAGATTAAGGAATGCGTGTTTTGTTATGTTAAAAGGAAGTAAACACTAGTTGCTATTTTATGGAGTATTTTCATCAGGAACAGATGTTAACGTCTGTTGTAAGTTCTTTCAGCATCTGTGGAGATAATGATACGATTTTCTCCATATTTTTAATATGCAGCATTATATTAATGGATTTCCTAATCTATTTATTTTTTTAAGATTTATTTATGCATACAAGAACAGACCAGAGGTGTGGGAGGGTGAGAGGATTCACCAGAGACAGAGTGGGGAACAGAACAGGCAGATTGACTGAAGTACACTGCTGAGGGGAGCAGTGGGCAAGTCAGGAGAGGTCTGCTGCACCATGTGGGTTGCTCCCTGGCCGGCCGGGGATCCAATTCGTGCTGCAGTGGCTGCGTTTCGCTTCATAGGTTATGTCTTAACTCCTTGTGCCACCAGGGATTTCCTAATCTATTTATACCAATTACATGTTCCTTAAATAATTCCCACTTGGTTATGGTATATCTTTTAATGTGGTTGTTGGGTTTTATTAGCCCTTTTCACATTGATACTGATACTGGACTGTAAAAAATTTTTAATACCCTATTGGGAGTAGTTATCAATGTTACACTTTTTTCACAAAAGAATAAAGTTTTTCCATTTTTTTTTTTATTCCCTGGAGAACATTTATGAAGTATTAGATTTAGAATTCCCTTCTTAAATCATTTAGATCATTAATACATTCTTGTGTAGGATAGTGCCTCAGTAACTTTATTTGTACAAATGAATGATTTAAAACTTTCTGTCTGATGGAGTTGATTTTGATAAATTGTGCTCCCAGAGAAACACAATTTCATTGGTTTTTGTATTTATGTATACAGGATTTTTTCCCCTCTGGTTTTGGTGCTTATTTATTTGGTGGTTATTGTATTCTCCTGAATTTATTATATTCTTTCTTGTATCATGAATGTGTGCTTTCTCCCTTTATTCTATCAAGCTAGCTAGTGTTTTAAGTGTTTCAAAACAAGGATTTTGACTTAAAATTAGATATATTGCTTTTCTCTTTATTATTTTCACTTTTATCCGTATTTTCTTAATTTTTTGTTTTTCTTAGCTTTGGTCTGTGAAGTTTAATTCTTTCAGTTTTATTGAGAAAAACTATTTAAGACCAAATATTTCTTTGATGGCTTTAAAAAAAATTATAGTTTATATAATATAATTTCAGTTATCAAAGAAATTCTTTTAATTTTTTTTCTCATGTTTCCTTTTGATTACATTTAGGTATGTACCTATTGTGGCAATTTTTTTCTCCATTCACTGAAGAGTTGTTTCAATGTCCCGCCCCCTCCAATTTGGCAGGGGGGGGGCTTTTGTTATTGCTATTTTAATAACTTTCAAATATTTTGTTTCACTGCAGTGTTGTTGATGCCCTTTTATGCAACTTGCTGATGCTTCTTTATGACCTAATAGGTGACAGAATTTTGTCACTGATTCCCTGGCTGGCCAGGAATCAAACCTGCACTGCAGAGGCTGTGGACAGCTTCACAGCGCTGCACTTAATCCACTGCACCACCTAGGGAGGCCCTGGTTACTGTTTTACATTTACTGATTTTATGTTTAGTTTCAGCATTGTCATTTTCATTTATAGCTACCCTGTTTTTTCCTGTATGTGTTTTCATTGCTCTTTCAATACAATTTTTTCAGAATGTTTAATTTTTGTTTTATTGGCTACCTTTGAGCTAGATCTTTTTAAATGTCTTCAGCCCCATTTTCTTATTTAACCTTGAGTGATCTGATTTTCAGTTTTTAGTAGTATTCTTTAACTCCTCCCTGACATTAATCGTGTGATCAGTGAGGTAATTTTACTTTGTCCCTTCCTACTTCTCCCAATTTTTAATTGATTTTTTCCTAATTTATTGGACCATAAAATGTTTAACAAGATTGCTAGCTCAGCAGCTCTTTACCACCTTTGTCATTGTAGTGAAGTTTTTTGTTGTGTTGGGTTTTTTTTTTTTTTTTTTTTAAATGGGATGGCATTCTTAGAACTGGTGGGGAGACAGGTTGTGCGTTTTTTGGTTTTTTTTTCTATTGTGGAACATGCATACTTTATTTTTTTTATAATAAATTTTATTTTTATATTCCCCATACAATTGCAACCCCCTTATTTTGACCCCAATCCCTCCCCTCCTGCCCCCTACCACCCATAGAGTGTCTCTGGTTCATAGTTTTTGTTGATTTTGATTTTCACTTTCTTATAGTTATTCATTATCCTGGTCCCTTATTTAAGTTTTCTAGATTCCTGCTATGAGTGAGACCATCCGGTATTTTTCTTTTTCTTTCTGGCTTATTTCGCTGAGCATGATCCCTTCCAGCACCAACCATGTTGCTGCAAATTGCATGTGTTTATCTTTTTTGAATGCTGAGTAATATTCCATGATATATATGTACCACATCTTCTTGATCCAGTCATCTATTTTTGGGCATTTGGGTAGTCCAAAGGGTTCTTCTCCCTTCCCTTTTACTCTTCTTTCCTGAAGAATTGCCTTTCCAGGACTGCCTCTTTGGTTCCTGTGTGCATACTGAGACCCTCCTGTATCCTGCTCTCATCAGAGCTGTTTATAGGTTTTTGTAATACTTACCGTGAGTGGGTTTTCTCTTTGTTAGCTTGGTTTATCCATCACCAGCTTTCCTCCTCTCTTTACCCCACACCTCCTTGTTTTCCTTGATAGTGATAGCTCGCAGCTAGAATGTGGGCGATAGCTGGGGCTTGCTGGTGATAGATTTTAGGTAGTGCATTTGTTTTTCTTCTTTTCATATTGCTTTTAAAGGATGTATTGTGAAATTTGCATTTCTACAACCACTCCTACCCTCTCTAACTTTTCTTATCATAAGTCTTTATAGTTCTTCTTTTAAAGTCGTCTGTTCTTTGTAAGAACACTGTAGTTTACCCACTTTGAGGTTCTTGAATGAAATGATGTTGTGCTAAATCCTCTCATTTATGATTATTTTTGTCCTTGTGTTTTACAGAATGTTACCTCCCTTGAGAAATCAAATTCTCAGGACCAGGAAGTAAATGCTGCTTATTTTCCATCTAGATTCTAGGTAAGTGACACTTTTTTCAATCTTTTGAAGTGCACCTCCACTCCCCTAGACCGCATCTCACTGGAGGAGCAGGTAAGGACACAAGTGGAATCTCAGTAAGGATCAGTCCTGCTTAGTGTGTGTTGAGCACCATCTGTGCATCGGGCACTGCTGTATATACACGGGAAAGAGCAGCAAATGAAGTCAACCTCTAGCAGTAGTCAGTCAAGATATAAATGAGCTATATAGTGTGTTGGAAAGTGGGATGTGCCTTGGAGGAAAATAAAGCAGGAGGGGCAGTAGGGATCGCATCCAATCATGTGGTCAGGAAAGGCCTCCATGAGAAATAATGTCGAAAAAACTGTTGAAATAATTGAGAGAGTTTGCACATACCTGGAGGCTGTGTGGCACAGGCCCTGAGGAGAGACTGAGCAGATGAGGAGCAGATAGGACGCCATTGTGGCAGGACTGCACCTGCAAAGAGAACAGTGTAAGAGGTCAGGGCAGTAGTGGCTAGGTTGGAAGACAACTCACATGTGGCCACTTGGCCATTGTGAAGGCTAAGAAAGAAGCCATTGAAGGGACGAGAAGAACAACATAATGTGGGTTTTGTTTTAAAAGGATTACACTCGCTGCAAGGTTGAGAATAAGGGTGAAGGGAGGCTAGTGAGAGAAGGACAGTATATTAGTTTGCTGGGACCACTCCAACAAGTGAACTGCCAGCTGGGTGGCTTGAAGAAGTTGATTTTCTCACAGTTGAGGGACATGAGCTCCAAGATCGCAGTGGCAGTTTTGGTTTCTTCTGAGATCACTCTCCTGACTTGTAAATGACCACCTTCTCTCTGTGCTCTGACATGGTCTTCCCTCCATGGCCTTGCACTTGCACCCCTAGTCTCTCTGAGTCCTAGTCTCCTCTCGTTCAGACACCAGTCAGATTGGATTAGGGTCCTCCCAATGGCTTCATTTTAACTTGACTCTTTACAAGTCCTTATCTTCAAATATAGCAATGTTCTGAGATGATGGGGGGTTAGGGGGGTGTTAGGGCTCTAATATATGATTTCCAGGGCCCCCAATTCAGCCCATTATAGGGCACCATTTGGGAAGTTACTACAATAATCTAGGTGAGAAATGAGAATGGTTAAGACCAGGTGTAGTAGCATAAGTGGTGAAGAAGTGGTTGCATTCCAGTTTTGAGAATGAAGCCATCAGATTTATCCATGGCTTATTTACAGAGTGTGAGAAAGAAGAATAGTACAGGGTGATTTTTATTATTAATTCATTTTACAGATGAGGAAATAGGTACAGACTAACTTGCCTAACATCACCTAACTAAAATGACAGACTCAAAGGACTTTCTTCTCTCTCTAGTCACTGGAGATTCTGATGATCATGAACCATTTCCTTCTAGACTTTTCTACAGAAAGGGCTACATAGATGTTCACAGGTCTTTTTGTTTTATTTTCTTCATGAGCAGCATATGAATGATTAGACCTGGTCTTACTACTCAGCTCAAGCAAGGGGAAGAGGAAGAGCGCTGGTTTTGAAACTACCCAGGTTGATTAAAAAAACGGTTCTTCCTGGTACTTTTCCCTCATGTGCTGTTATTGGTTTTATATTAGTAAACAGGCAAAAATACAAACTGGTTTCAATGTCTGCAAAACTAGAAAACTTAGGATTTCTGATGCAGAATTTTTTCTCTTCTGCAGCAATTTTAATTTAAAGGATTCTTAATCATAGGAATATAAACAATATTTCTGCTTTGTCTCACAGGGCTGGAAATACGAATTAGTGTATTGGAATTAGTGTGTATGATGGTGAAACCTTGTAGAGACAAACTGCTCGTGACTGAAGGGCCTAACACAGATGTGTGTCTTAAGGTCTTATCAAGAAAATGATTGTGAAGAAGATGATGGTCAAGAGGACCAGTGGAAAACTCCCTAGGACAGAGCCATAGAAAATGTACACTTCAGAAGAAAGATATAATCAGAGAACTCAGAAAAGGAAGATCTATCATGTATGCCCTCAGAAGGGTAAAAAGATTTTTATTCACATGCGTGAGATCACTCGAATAGATGATCAAATATACCAGTGCCTTGACCGTGAACAAAACTTCCGTGAAAACTTAGCTCTTATTATGTGTGAGCGAACCCACACTGGGGAGAAACCTTATAGATGTGATATGTGTGAGAAAACTTTCATCCAAAGCGCAGATCTTATTTCACACCAGAGGATCCACAACTATGAGAAACCTTATAAATGTAGCAAATGCGAGAAGAGCTTTTGGCACCACTTGGCCCTTTCAGGACACCAGAGAACTCACGCAGGTAAAAAGTTCTACACGTGTGACATTTGTGGCAAGAACTTTGGTCAGAGCTCTGACTTGCTTGTCCACCAGCGAAGCCATACGGGCGAGAAGCCGTACCTGTGTAGTGAGTGTGATAAATGCTTCAGTCGAAGCACAAACCTCATAAGGCACCGAAGAACTCACACAGGTGAGAAACCATTTAAGTGTCTGGAGTGTGAAAAAGCTTTTAGTGGGAAATCAGATCTTATCAGTCACCAGAGAACTCACACCGGTGAGAGACCCTACAAATGTAACAAGTGTGAGAAAAGTTACCGACACCGTTCAGCCTTCATTGTTCATAAGAGAGTTCATACTGGGGAGAAGCCGTACAAGTGTGGTGCCTGTGAGAAATGCTTTGGCCAAAAATCGGACCTTATTGTGCACCAGAGGGTCCACACGGGCGAGAAGCCGTATAAATGCTTGGAATGCATGAGAAGTTTTACTCGGAGTGCTAATCTAATCAGGCACCAAGCAACTCACACTCACACTTTTAAATGCCTTGAATATGAGAAAAGTTTCAGCTGTAGTTCAGACCTTATTGTGCATCAGAGAATCCACATGGAAGAGAAACCACATCAGTGGTCTACGTGTGAGAACGGCTTCCTCCTAGGCATGGACTTTGTGGCCCAACAGAAAATGAGAACTCAGACAGAGGAGCTACATTATAAATACAGTGTGTGTGATAAAAGCTTCCACCAGAGCTCACCCCTTCTTCAACATCAGACAATGCACCTTGGTGAAAAACCATATATCTGTAACGTGGGTGAGAAAGGTCTCCAACTCAGCCCTCCTCATGCATCAGAGGCCTCACAAATGTCTTGACCAGACAAGACATTAAAATACCATTAAAAATGCATTTACATGTCAAAGAACTCACTAAGATGAAGAACTCAAGTCAAATCTCAGATTTCTTCAGACTTCAGTGGGGACCAGGGAATCTGCAGTCAGAAGTGTGAGCAGTGCTTGCTCAGTGAGCTGCCTAACAGACAGCATAGCAGTCTCCCCCGTGAGAAACCTTACCAACACCTGGGTTTTGGAAAAACCTGGTATAGTCAAAACACGAATTTCATCACAGGAGGATTCATACAGATAGGAAGCCTCACAAAATGCAGTGAATGTGAGCGAATTTTCTAGCAGTGTTTACCCCTTCTCATTCCAAGAGAATTCACACCAGAGGATGACTTTTTAAAATGCTCTCAGTGTCTGCAACGCTTCAGACAGTATACATATCTCATGGAACTTCAGAAAACCCACACTGGGGAGAAACCCCAGCAAAAGTGTGGGAAGAAACTTCCAAAAGAACTATAACTTCCTTATCCATCAGTGAAGCCATATTGGGAAGATTTGTATATTTGTCTTGAATGTGGCAGAGACATGGAGAGCCTTCTTAGGTTTGAGTAACGACCTTGCAAAGCCTCTGAAAGACAAAAACTTCTATCCATGATCAGCTCTTGTAGTGGCACAGAAGGGAATTCACGTAGGTAAAATACCCATTCACTCTAATACCTGGGGTCTGAAAAACCTTGCTTAGAAACTCCTACCTTATTGGATCCCCACAAGAACCTCCTCTGCAGAGAACTTTGCTCTCGTGAGAGATTGAATTATGGACTTTGTACATATAATAGGTATGAGAAGAACTGTTCTCATAGTTCGTGGACTCACATGGTAGAGATGACTTTTAATGGACTCAGTATGTCAGCAGTTTTTTCCATACCCAGACGCTTGTTCTGGGAGGCGCTCTGGGGCAGGTCAGAGTAGGCCTGATGGGTAACTCAGGTAAAGATTCTTTTCTTTTATCTGAACCACTTAATGATTGCTTTACTTTCACTTTTTAAAATTTGGAAATCCAATAAAGGAAAGGACTGCAACCTTGTGACAGAAGGTGTGGCATGTGTGACTGTGGGGGAAGGAATGTATACTGACTTTGCCTCTGATGATTTTGTTTTTTATGTTTGGCTAGAGTGGGAACTAGTGTACTGGTAGAAGCATGGGAACTTCCGCTGGTAGTGAAAAGTACTGAGCAACTGGGGAGTAGTTATCCTAGATCCAAACTCTCCCAAGAGTTTCCCTTTGGCAGGTCAGCCTCATCAAGAAACAGAATTTCAGCTTTTTGCTTATTAGCGTGAGTGAAGGCCTAACCTTGGAAGTTTCCTTTTCCCTAAAATATCTCAGAGGGCCACTAGCCTTTGAAATTTCAGCTTCAGGTATTCATTTCAGTTCAGAAATGCAAATTCCAGAACAGTTAGGATGTGACCCATATCCATATTTTTGTGATTTAATTTATCATGTCTCTTTCAATGGTATTACACCTTCATAAGCTCCAGGCAAATGATTAAAGGGAGACAAAGATTTAAGCCTGAGCAGCACAGAGTCAAACACTTAATGGTGTTCCTCAGAGGAAGATGTTTTCTGTAGTTATCCTGACTCCATTATCCTGCTGCGTATTGCAGATAAACCCCCATAATGATAAGCCTTTCATTTATTCAGTTCTGCCATAGAAAAAGAAATAGACTTTTTATCACCAGACCTGCAGTCATCACAACATAAGGTACATACTTTGCTTGGAGTGCAGGATTCTAAATGCCTGAAGGGACAGGTAGTTGGCAGATTCATCAGAGGTTTAAGCAGAAGCACTTTTCTCCTAGTTAACAAGATAATTACGATTACCATTAACATTTCCTGGAACTACTATCATTAACCCAGTGATTTATAACTAGACACTTGTGAGGGTTTATTTCTTTCTTCCCTTGGAATAAAGACATTTAATATAAATACTTAAGATTCCTGCATTATTTGGGACTGTAGATCGGTGAATAAATATTTTATTGCTAGTCTGAGACTTCTGATTGGTCTCCGAAAGCGCTCGAGACCTCCCAGGGACACTGGCATTTAGACTCAAGGAGGTGGCTGGCTGCTACCTCGCCGGTGACTCTAAGCTTTGCTCCTAAGTGGCCGCTGTGTCACCTTAGAGTCAGTGGATAGAGCTCTTAGTGATCATAAGGAGTCAGTTCTAGAGTGGTTTTTCTTTTAAAAACAGATCCAGGAAGTTTATTTGCTGTTACATTTTTAGTGATTTTCATAAATAGCTCTTAGGCCATGAAAAGTGGCCCAGTGTGATAAAACATACAAGATGGATTTTTTTTGTTTCTCTTTGGTGAAAATCATGCCTATCACTAGTATATGTTTGAGTGTTGTAATACTTAAAATAGTATTGGGTGTATGGCATGGTGGTGATGAAAATTAGTCCTTATGGCTACATGTTAGTCATTAGAATTTGGAGTAGGAGGCAGAGTTGTTATCACTGGCAAGGCTATGACTTATCCTCTTTCAACTAACCTTACTGGTAATTGTCTCTAGTCGTTGAATAAATTAAGGATGGACCATCCCTCAAGCAGAGAACTCTGGGGGTACGAAACAGGTCTTTTAATCTGGTCTTTGAGGACTTTTAACCACAGAGGAAAAGGTGTTGATGCTTCATACGTAGCGCAACCTGAGGTTGGGGAGGTCTACTGGGGAGCCTGTAACCAAAACTAGAAGGTAACTTCTGGGACGGATGAAGGTTCTCTTGAAACAGTGCCAACCTAAATCTACCTCAGGTAAGTAGTTAGAGTAACTCAAGATTTCAGACCAAACGAAACACTTGTATCCAGTCAATGTATTCCTATGCTTTAATGTTTTTGTTGTCCCTTAATTCTTAAATAAACATTTGTCCTGAAAAACTCCACTTTTGTTTCCACTGTTGTAAGCAAAAGCATTTCCCCTACACTTGCCTTTGAGGAATCCTCACAGTGCACACTCTGTCCAGTCACAACACCCACCTTAAACATAAATAATCTTATTTGTACATTTTTCCTCAGTAACGCTGACAATAGAGATTGATGTGACCCTTAGGCTGAGTGCTGGTGATAACTGTCCTATCTCTAAGTCTTAGAGGTTATTGATGCTCAGGCAGAATGAACAGAATCCCAGAAGGTACATCGTGGACGTTCTGCTATAGATGTTGGATCCTTTTGGCGCCTCCGGCTGCATTATAAATACCCCAGGGAGGAATAATAGTTTAACAGGGGCCAAAACTCAGTACTAGCAAATCATCTCTTGTTTATGTAAGTAACAGACATCCTCAGAATTAAGGAAAATCTGAACACACTCATGGCTCCAATTTTACATGTTCCCACCTTGTCTGATCATTTGGTGGAGTGGGGCAAGGAAGGTAACGTAAAAACAGCCAGGGAGCTACCCATGTGGCGCATCAGACCTCTCCTGTCTCACCCACTGCTCCCCTCAGCAGTGTATTTAACTCTATCTACGTATTCTCCTTACCCTGTGTCTGGTGAATCCTCTCACCCCGCCCCCATACCTCTGGCCTGTACCCCAGTTCTTGTATGCATAAATAAATAAATCTTGAAAAAAAAAACTGTATTCACATATCTGAAATTGGGGAGAAGGCTTTGTATGGAATTCTGAATTTCACAGCCAAAACTCTACTGAATCCAGCACCTCTTCTGGGGGGCTTATTGACCTTAAATATTTCTGATCTCTCGACCAAACAGCAGTCCCTCTGTGGCAAGCCTCTTACTTGAGGGTAGTAACCCTCAACCACAAGAACTTCACATGCTGGGGACCCTCTATGTGCAGCTCACATCTTTCTGATGTCCTGCTCCAAGGATTACAGATGCCTCAACGGTGCCAAATTAGAACCTCGTTGCTCCAGTTGCTCGTTGCTGAATCCCACCAAGCCCTGTTTGGGAGAGGCTGGAGTTAAATGGAAATTGGGGCTCTCCAATGCCAATTCCTCCCCCAATTTCCTTCAAGAGGGATATCATTTTGCTTTGCTTATTATCCAATGCCTGAAAAGAGTTGCCTCATAAATTTTGTCTGGATTTTTTAGTTGATTATGAGTAGTAGGAATAATCTGAGTATAAACTTAAGCTATGTTTTTACTAGAAAATTTTCTTACCCTTTCTTGAATTTTTCATTCTGTTCCAAGAGCCTTAAAACAATTCATATGACTTTATATAATTTAATTCCTAGGCATCTAGTTTAGGGAAATAGTCCCTAAAAAGGACATTTATTTCATTATCAAATTATTTTTGTAATATTGAAAATAGTACAGTATTTTATGACATATAACATAAAACTATTAATTTTGTAATATATAAATATTAAAATACCAGTACTATTTTATAACTAGAATTATATAATTTCTGTTACTCATTCAAGGGAATACTATTCAATGAATGAATTATGTAAAGGAATATTTTAATGATCTGGGAATAGGTATGAATATATGTGACACTAATTTTAATTTTTAACTTATGAGCATTTTATGAGTACTTTCTATTTTTTTAATGAAGTATTGTTTTACATCCTTGTTAATTTTTTGACAGTATAGCATTTCTCTCAGGTAATAGTAATTTTTTTAAAGACACAATATTATGCATATATTTTGAATTGTGTAAAAATATTTGCATGGAGAGAGCTCTGGAAGGAAAAACACTATAAAGTTATTAGTGATCACTCTCAGAGGTTGAAATATGAAAATTTTCTTATTTGCATTTCTTTTTTGTATTTTTCTATAAGCTTCACTTTTAAATGAGTTTTATTTTTTGAATTAGATTACAAATAAATCCATTTTATTAGTATGAATAAAGCTAAACCCCACCTTTGGCACAGCACCTCTAAGCCCCAAGCTCCTCTGAAGAGGTGGCATTAATTTATGTGTTTGTATATCCTTTTGTGACTTTTTCTGCTGACTTGCATTATGTAGGCACCTACAGAAACAGTGTCCATCCTCTTTTAATACCAATAATATATTTGTAGAATGATTTAAAAAAAAAAAAGAGATCTATCTATTTATGCATACAAGAACTGGGGTGTAGGCCAGAGGTGCGGGTGGTGAGAGGATTCACCAGAGAGAGTGGGGAGCGGAACAGGCAGATCTACTGAAATAGACTGCTGAGGGAAGCATTGTAGGAGACAGAAGAGGTCTGCTGGGCCCGATGGGTTGCTCCTGGCCAGTGAACTCGTGCTGCAGTGGCTGAGAACTTAATAGCGCTGTCTTTAACCGCTGCACCACCAGGGAGGCCCTGTAGAATGATTTTTTTTTTTAAGGTAAAAATATGTCTTAGAGCTCTTTCCTTGCCAGTATGACACATAAATATACTTTATTCTTATCTGCTACATAATATTTCAGTGTATCTAAAGGTTCCACTTGTAGACATTTAGATTCTTTTTTTTTTAACAATTACTAATAAACATTGCAAATACATTCTTAATGGTTTCTTTACTCGTGTGAAAATAGTTTTCTTGGACAGATATGGGAAGGAGAAAATGGGACATAGGATATGCACAGTAACACTTTAATATACCTACTGTGAAATTGTGCACTATGTTAAATATATCTATATATATTTAACTTGAAGGAAATTGGGGGCTCCCCAATTTCCATATAACTCCAGCATCTCCAGGACTATAATTTCCCAACCACGGTCAGGTTTCCAAACAGGGCTTGGTGGGGCTGTGGGATTCAGCAAGGAGCAGCTGGGACAATGAGGTTCTAATTTGGAGCCGTTAATAATAAAAGCATTTCTATTGACAAAATGTGATTTTTAAAACGATAATGAACACTGTATACATTAACATGCTGAGCTCTGACCTGACAAGGGGTGAAACAGAAACCAAAAGGCAAGGAATCAACCAAACTGTGTATGGGACCAAGAGAATTATCCAAGCTATAATCCCAAATGAGCCATGTCCTGACCCCCCACGCCCCTTCCATCCCATCTCTAGCCTTCCTGAGCTCAGGCCCAAATCCTGTGTCCCTCACTCACTGTCACACTCTTGGGGGCAGGGGTGGGGGCTCTGAGAGATTCAGGGACAAAAATACAACAACCTACTGCATAATACAAGTCAATATGTGCGAGTGTGGAGGAGACGGAGGGAAGTGGGCTGGGAAGGAAGGTGCTCCTGCCTAATTTACAGCGATCAAGGCAAAAGTCTGTTACTGCCAGCACCTGGGGCCACCGTTGCACCCTGGGTCCCACCTCTGCGAAGTCCCCTCTTTATGCCTGAGGAGTGGATCGTCCCATGCCCTCCCAGAACACACCCAAGCCAGACCCCATCCAACCTAGTGAGAGCTGCAAGGTACTGGTGTAGGCTCTGGGAGATTTTGTTTCTATTCCCCAAATATGTTAGTTTGAAATATGGGTAAAAATTAGCCCATCTCTTTACTTACATGACACTGTGTTCTCTTCACCCCGGATCAGAAAAACCTCTTTGAAATACTTGTCACTGTAAAGGAATAGTTAGAAGATAATCGAGACCACCGGTTCACCACTCAGGTTTGGAAGTTCATTCATTCACAAACACACTAGCGTGCTGCTGCAACCTTTCTGAATGAAAGTTTTATCCAAGGCAAAATAACACACTGGTTAGCTTGTTCTCCTAGCAAAGAAAAAGAAATCCTATAGTCATTTTTCTAATCTCTGCTTCCACCCCTGCTCCTACCTGATGCTCTCCCTTTCTAGGGACAGATGAATGTGCCTACTTTGCACTAATTACCTGCCAGAAGTTCCCATATACCCTGTATTCTAAAATACTCAAATCTGCGTTCATTCCTTGACTTTGAAACTCCCAAGAGCTTATTTCATTCAACAGATATAACTGCTTTTTTTCACACAGACAGATTATATGGAGAGCACCCCTATATTCACCACTTGTAGAAACCCACCTGGGCTGTACAGTTATCATTTTACTCTACTAGATTTATCCTGCATCTGTCCATATATTCATTTATTGAGTCATCTTATTTTTGTGAATTTCAAAGTATGATGCAGACTTCAACATGTTTTCTTCAAATACATGATATCATTAACTTGAGTTCAATATTTGTTTGTTTTTTGCTTTTAAGGATAAATTTATTTACAACAAAATGTGTAGATCTTAATATGCCATTTGATGAGTTTCAACAAATGTATGCATGTATGTAACCCAAATCCCTATAAAGATGTAAAATATAACCATTACCCTAGAAAATTTCCACATGCTCTCTTTCCGATCAATCCTCACCCCAATCCCCAGAACCCTAACATGTGTGAGATTAATCTGAGTTTTCCATATATCAGTTTTCCATAAATCCATACATTTATTACTGCTAGGTAGTATTTCTTTGTATCAATACACCACAGTTTGTATATCCATTCTTCTACTGATGAACCCATGAGTAGATTAGGAATAAAACTTCTATAAACATTTTTGCAAAAGCCTTTTTGATCTGGTCGTATTCATTTCTCCAATGCGGTCTGATTGTATGTTCTATATTATAACTTCCAAAATGACTGTACCATTTTGGGTTCCCATCAACAGTGCATGAGAGTTCATGTTTTCTGATGCTTTGTCAACACTTAGTTTTGTCATTCTTTTTCATTTTAGCCATTATGGTAGGTGTGTGCTCTTAAAGCCTCTGCTTCGTCATCATTTTTTTCCTAATGAACCCCACCGATATGATTTCTGATCTTTTGGGTTTATCTGGACTGTTCACTTGAAGCTGCTAATTTGCTATAAGTTCTTTGCCTAACCATTGCTATGGACTTCTGTTGCATTTAGTCTTCAAACATTTTTTTTTGTCTTAATTCATTTATTCTGGACTTTCTTTATCCTGTCTAGTTAGGATGACTGCATGATCCACTGTCAAATCCATGACCTTTTTAAGAATGAAAGGAAGAACTATAAGTAATTATGCCTAGACAATATGTATAAGATAGGACTTTTCCAGAAAAGCTACAATGTATATTCTATTCCACTGCTCCTGTTAGTCTCACTATTTTGGTTCCTAGGACTCTCTCCTCATCTTTGTATTATCTTAAATGTTCTGTTATAAATGGTCTTGGCTTCTCTGCAGGGATAACCCTCCCTCATGCAGCAGAATCTGCCTCCTCATCTATTCAAGTATAGCACTTCCACAGTTCTCCCCTTTCTCCTGAAACACTAGTTTCTCCATCTTTTCTGGATCTATTCCATAAGCATATGAACATGCTGTTACAGAATCAGTCTTAAAGCAGCTTCTTGAGGGCCTCCTGGTGGTGCAAGGGGTTAAGTCTCAGCACTATGAAGCTATCCACAGCCACTGCAGCATGAGTTTGCTCCCTGGCCAGGGAGCTACCCACATGGTGCAGCAGACCTCTCCCGTCTCCCCACTTCTCCCCTCAGCAGTGTATTTCCTCTGTCTGCCGGTTCTGTTCCCCACTCTGTCTCTGGCGAATCCTCTCACCCCCCTTCACCTCTGGCCTATACCCCAGTTCTTGTATGCATAAATAAATAAATCTTAAAAAAAAAAGGTAGAAGTTTCTTGAACCCCTCTCATCTCTTTCTACCTATTGC